AGAGCCACATGCAGAATTTCAGTAAATTAAAGCTGGTTTATCTAATGCAACTCTTATTTAGTGCTTTCATTTTTACTCAAACATCTAAAAAAATGTTAAAAAATATAATAGCTCCTTAAACACTTCCAACGAGAAAGAAATAGCTGCTTTTGGAAGAAGTAGATTCAGATAGGGCTACTAGAGTTCCTAACATTAAGGCAGAGTGTCTCCATGTAAATTGTACTTAATGCCCTAGTCTATCTCTGGAAGTGCAGAGAATAAGCTTAATTTAGTGATGGCAAGCCTTGCTACGGCAGTCTCTCCTAAGTGAATGAACACATTCAGAGCGTATTTAGCACCCATCTTGAAGCAACAACTGCAAACCACTGAGGTGGTAAGTCAAGCTTTGCTAGTCTAATTCCTCTTCCATGATTTTTTTTCAAATACACTATCTCCTTTTAATCAGAGTACAATGCTGAGAAATAAAGATTATTATATAAAACATTATCAATTTATAGAGAACTGTGCTGTCTGATAAGGTAGCTACTAGCCATATAGAACCTAAAACATTTGAAATGCAGCCAATATGGATACTTACTTTATAAGGAATAAAATATATACAAAGATCTCTATTAATACCAACTATAGAATAACCTTTATATTGATTATATATAGTTATTTTAGTTACCTTAATAGTTAGAATATTTGCCTAAAATTAATCCTACCTTTTATTTTTATTGTATGTGAATGTGTGTGTATGTGCATGCGCTATCATGCACACACACTGAAGCCAGAGGACAAATCTTAGGAGTTGGTTCTTTTTTTCCCACATGTTGACTCCAGGGATTGAACTTGGGTCATAAGAAGGCTTGGCAAGAAGTTCCTTTACCCACTGAACTCTCATGACCCTACTTTCATGTTGTTACCATAACATTTAAACTTGTATTTGTGGCTCATATTATATTCTAACTGGATAGTATTCAATTAGCTCAGTTTGGCTCCCCATTGTGTTGCCTTGGGTTAATATTCAGGTGACTAAAATTTCTAAGTCCTAATTCTCCCTTCCCAGTTCTGAAGTCTATTGTCTTAAGACTTATAGTCACCTTTATTAAATTTTTGCTTGTTTGACTTGGTCCAGTCTATTAAACAATGTTTGGATCTGAACATAGAGTTTGGCATACAAATGGAACTTAATAAATACTTGCTAAATGAAGTTGGTTATCCAAAGGATTAAGGTATCTCTCTGTTTCAGTTTCTCCACAAAAATCATGTACTTGCCTAAATCAGTGCTCTCATTCAAGCCCAACTGGAGACTTCTTTATTACTCAAGAGGGAACAAGCTGTGAAACTGTATCTTCATTTGGTCATTTATAAATGAGGCTTTTACAAGAGTGTACTGATTTAAGAATCTCTTTGGGACAGGGTCTTTACCAATTTTTTATTTTTAAATTCCCTGGCCCTTAGTATACTCTTGACTTTTGGACAAATGTGTAACAATCAACTCATATCTACTCATATTTCTGGTTCCTTAAAAGGACAGCATCAGATTCTGAAAACTGTTCTGCTGAAACTCAGAATTTTCTGTACTTGGTGTTTCCCAATAATCTTACAGTGAAGACTGGTTTTTCTGACAGGCATGGGAAAATTGGTTCGATTTATATAATTTTTTTCCTTACAAGGTATGAAATTGAGTGATACAAAAGTGATACGTGAAGGTTCTAGGATGAGTGAATGGGGATGTCCAACAACATTTAAATAGATAAAAGAGAACAGTAATTGGTTTTGGGTCTCCAAGGGCAAACTAATGAAGACAACTTCTTCAGGATGTGTGGACTAGTGACTTAATTTGAACAGAAATCAAACGGGTCTGGCAGAAGAAGAGAACAGGGTTTAGAATGAGGTCTAATCTTGTTCTCCTTTCTTAGTCATGTAATCCCCTAAACGTCTTTGAAATAGAATGGAAACTCAGAGGAAACAGACAGTCATATTCTGCTCTATCGCTAATGTTAGGAACAGAACATGATTTGTGTTCATTATGTGCTAATAAAACAAACAAAAAAAACCAACCCATTGTTTTTCCCTTAGATAATTTGGAAGACCTATTTTGTCGCTCCCACATATCTGAGGATCAATAAAGACAAGTCTTTTGAACGACACAAATATTTTATGCCTTCTCATTTTGTCAATTTCCTTTCTCCTTGTTACCTATTTTTTTTCCTTCCCCTAATTTTCTCCCTTCTTTTTTTCCTTCAGTACTTCCTAATTGAACTTAAACTAGAGGTAGACATATTTATCAGCATTTGGAAACGCAGTCTTATGTCCACATCTATTAATTTAGAAAGCACTAACAGTAATTAGGGAAAACTCAGTCCTATCAGATGGGCTGCTTAGCTCTTCTGCACATTAGTGGCCCACATTAGAAGAACAGTTTTTAATAAGTCTCTCTTAGGACAATGCTACATTATTTGGCTGAATCCCATGAATTGTGATTCTGATAGTCCAGCTGAACTTAGGTCAAGGGTCATAGAAACATAGTTCTGTAAATATTATTTTGGTAAACAAAGAATTGCAGAAACTCCAGAGGATTGAACCTTCCCTGCTGGGCATCTCTTACACATAACCTAGGTTTCCCTTGAGAGAACATGGTATGGGGTCTCTTGGAAGCAATTTTTCTTTGGTGATTAAATATGAGAGTGTGACTGTCACTATTGCCCATATCAACCACAACTAAAATACACATATGGGTTACAATGTGTTAAATATCTTCTGGGAACTTTCTATGTACTAACTTACTATACCTCACAAACTGTATTGAACATCATATTCCTCACATTTAGAGAAGAGAGGTTAATTATCTAATGAAAGTATAATGCTAACTAAGTAAGCCATTCAAAAGTAAATATCTAGGCATTGTGGCTCCAGAATTCATAGAGGCCTATGAACTGCTTGCTGTAAATGTGATTCTATACTTTGCTATTCTACATATATGCTGTAAATACAGACAGTGTGAAAGTAAATTAATAGGAAAGCCGAACATTATGAAAGCTACAAACTCTTTGGAAGAAAACTTTTTAGAATTTCAACATCATCCTGTTTCCTGTAACACAGTATAATGCAGGGAAATTTGAACTGGATTTCATTTAATCTGACTTTCTAATACATGTAAATACATGTGTGTTCAGTTACATAATAGCCTTTATAAGAATATTCTACTACTAATCATTAGGTGAAAGAAGAGCTTCATACTTTCCATTTCCATCATCTATGTAATATTTACAAAAGTCTCAATCACTACTCCTGGGAAAGCCTTTCTCTGTGGATCGTCAAGTCATTTTTTTTCTTGTATTTAAGTGCAATGTACTTTTAAGGTTTAGCTTTGGTTTGCATAAATTTTGTTACTGATAAAATACCTTTACCATCACTCCTTGCAGTTTGTAGACTAACCTGAAATGTGCACATGCCAATAACCACATAATTACTGCCACCATATGCAATTAAATTTCCTGAATCTCCACTCTCAAAGGGGTTAAATTCTACCACATGGACATAATCTTCACAATCCACAGTGTAGGCAGCATTTCTTGTAGGATCTTGCTTCATCTTGTATCTCAAAAACTTGAGTAGTTGTAAGAATCAAATAGCTCTCTATTGGCTGTCACGAAACTGTGGATCACAAACAAAATTGAAAACTGTTAGTAATTTAACAGACGAATCAAAACAAGGCTAGGTACTGCAAAATCTGAGGTGGCGCAAAATCTGAGGTGGCGCAAAAGAGAATTCTGCTTATATTAACTAACACACATACACATGCATACACACATTTATATATTCAGCACTTGAGGGTTGAATAATTTTAATAAAAATAGATTTATAAAGTTATTAAGTAACAGAGATACAGCACTATTTGTAGTTGGCATGTTTTACATTTTACTGACATTATCAATCCTAACAGTTCCATAAAAGCTGGTACTACCAATAGTCCCATTTTGCCTAAGAAATTTGCCAAGTGGATAAATGGGGAAAGAATTTTAAAAACTTAGTATTTATCAGGCCCAAATGCTGGAGAAAACACAGATATACACACTTGCCTTTCTTAAGACTATGCTACATTGTTTAATTATATGATTTTCAATATTTTAATTTGACAGTCTAGGCAACTTCTTATGAAGTGTGGAATGAACTGGAAACTCCTACCTCTGCCTAAAGAGACAAGGAGTCTAAGAGCCTTGAAGGATATTATGGTCTAGAGATAGTTATAAATCAACATTAACCCATGCAATGAGCAGATATAAAATGCAGGATCTGGAGTAATGTGTGATATCAATGTTATAATGCCAGTCACAAGCCTCAACTCATTTGTAGCGGGATAGGTAGTGTGCACTGTAGAAATAGCGTTCTCACACGAGAATTAATAATTTTAATTTGTTGTTAATTAAAACGAGGAGCCATTCTAGGCTCAAAACGAACACATTAAAATATCTTTGGAGCATCTGCTGAGATTCGGAGGAGTCCTCCCCGCAGGGGGGCTTCTATGTTAATAACCTTAATAAAGGAGCATTCCAGCCTGGACACGTGTTACGCGTGGCCAGCAGGCGAGAAGTCCACAGTGCAGGGAGGTACAGAACGTGCAAGAGATTCGAGGTCCGGAGGTAATGGCAACCTCTCACCTCCGGGTCTTTAAAGCCTGGTGTCGACACTCGCGGGGCCTCCCGAGGAGGCAGGGACCCAGCACAGTCCAGTCCCCCACGTGTATCCCCACGCCTCTCCGGAGACAACCCACTCCCACCTCGCCAAGTCACCGGGAAGGGTCCCCGGGGCAGCAGCGTAAGCTCGCGGGGACCAGACACCCCCGCCCCGAGCTCCGTACGCACCGAAGGCAGGGAGGGAGGCGACCTGAGCACAGCTCTCCCGGCTGGGGGGCGGCCGCGGCGCTCGCCGGCTCTGCTTCCGGGTCGAAGGGCGGGCGCGGCGATTGGTTCCCGGGTCCTGCCGCGAGATTTGAATGGGCGCTGAGCTTCATTCAAACCTTGGCCCTCCGGCGTCCTGGCTGCTGCGCGGCTCCTCCCTCGGCTCGCACCCCCTTGGCTCCCCGGACTAGGTGAATGTCGCCTTTTCTCTGCCCTTCGGTCCCATTTCGGGGGGTTAATTCAGGCCGCCGCTGCGTGGAGGCGTTTCGGTGACAGCAGCGGCGTGGTCCGTGCAGGGGCTCCTCCCGGACTCCTGGGTTCCTGGAGGCGGACTTCACGGGTATCTTGTGCAGAAGGACCTGGGAGGTCGCCAGGGCTCGACGGTAGACGGGAAGAATGAAGCCCATCAAAGTCCGCTTTTAGTCCGTTAGGCCGGCGACAGGCCAGGGATCTGTCTGGCCGCACGACATGGGCAGACTCTCATTTCCAGAATTTCTGTCAGCTGTTGCATCCTTCAGGGGGACATTCAGGACCAGCCTAGGACAGTAACAGTGTCAGCTGTCATCTTTTCATGGAGTACTTTCTAAGTGCTGGCAATAAGAACGTTGTGTATTTATTTGTTTCACTGATGCCTCATAGTTCTGCTAAGTAGATATTACTGTCTCATGTATGGGCGTGAAGACATTTGTGCTCATCACCATGCACAGCTAATGCGTGGATGTGGTGGCAGGGATGCTGGGCAGTGTCTGCCTCTCTCACTTTACCTTCCAGGGACAATTTCCTGTCTCAGAATTTCTGCTCCAGTTCACCTTGAATCCAGTTTTAAAACAAGAGCCCATTACTTCTGCCTCCTTCTACCTTTGTTTTTATATTTCACCCTCTCCTCCCTCTTCTTTCCTCACTCCTCTATAGAGTGCGCATTTTCCATGTTAGTGTCTCCTTAATTCTTCACAACAGACTGGGGGATAAGAACAGAGGGGTGAGGCATAGTCCTGGTTTCAGTGTGATAATACTTCTACTTGGGCAGCCCTGGAAAAGCTGGGGCTACAGTAGATGTTGGCAGACCGGCCGCAATGCCTATTTGTGAGTAGCCAGTTCCAGAGCTAAACATCATTTTACTTGTTTAAATGGTCGGTGAATAAATGAAAGGAGAAGATTTTGTGACTTCTGAAAATAATATAAAACAGGTTTTGGTGTCCAAAAATAAATAAAATTTTAGTGGGGTCCGGCTATGTTTACTTGTTTGTGTGTTGTTCCTGGCTGCCTTGGTATGACAAGTTCAAGGTACATGGTTGTGAAACAGACTGTATGGCCGGAATGTCTCAAATATTCATTATTGTAGACTCCTAGATGAGACTTCTGGCTTTCTGACATTGGTAGTAATGCTCTTTCAGTTTTAACTCAAAACAGCTTAAAAGCTCATGATGCATGATCATAACAAATGTGCTTGGCATTGCCATAAAAGCTGTGTATGCAGTTATGTCTTGCTTTTCCCAAAACTGTATGAGGTACGAACTTTTTTTGTTTTCACTACAAGAACATTGGGGCAGGGAGAAGTGATATAAATTGGCTGAGATCTCATCGCTTAGTAAATGACAGAGCCAGGGATTCAGGGTGATCTAGTTCTAGGTGAATTTTTATTTATAGAAATCTAAACATATAATACCTTAAAATAATACCAATAGGTAGTCTTTTACCGAAAATTTACTTCAGGCGAACTAATCATATCACTGATGATAGCTCATGCTTTTATTACTTCTTAATTTTTTAAAAATGCATAAGTATGTTATTTTTAAGAGAAAGAAAACTCTCAGCAATGAAGATTACTGATTATGGTCATCTACTTTCTGTTTAAATTGCATCACAGATTATAATATATTATTTCACATCTGAGAGATGCCTCTTTGAAATTGGACAGGTCTGAGATACCTACATCTATATTGCTGCACTATTCACAGCCAAGTTATGTGATAATGTAGATACCCATCAAGGAATGACTAAGAGCTGGGGAGGTGGCTCGATGGGTACAGCACCCGCTGGACAAGTATGAGGACTGGAATTTAAATCCTCAGAACTAATATAAATGCTGGTGTAGTAGTCTGCTTGTACTCCCAGTGTGCAGGAGGTATAGACAAATATATGGAGCGAGCTGGCTAGCCAGACTAGCTGATATGGTGAGCTCCGGGTTCAGCAAGAGACCTTTCATTAATGTAGAAGGTGGAGAGCTTTGGAGGAAAACACTCAGTATCGACCTTGGGCCTCCATACACATGGACTCACATATAAGCAAGCATACACACACAGACATTTAAAAAAAGATAAATGCCGTCAAGAAGAATGAGAGTAGAAAAGGGACAACATAGGTTTGCTATCTAAAATAAACACATCGCATCAGGGTTTTGTATGCATCCAGGAGAAGTGATGAAATACAGTGATTTAAATGCCTAGGTTTTGGGCTTACAAATCTTGGATTTCTGCCTTTGGCTATTTACTAACTTCGTGTGGTTGGACATTACTTTCTTCATGTGTCAAATGCAGATAATTGTAGACTGACATCATTAGGACATGTGAAAATTGAGCAAAGTAATTAATATTGAACATTTGAAAAGCATCTGGCATTGGGTAGCTTCATGTGTTAGATGATATATGGATTATCTATTTGCTGTGTAACAAAACACCAAAAATGTGGCCACTGTAAAATAACAACCAAGCATCTGCTTAAAATTCTGTGGGTCGGCTAGATCGGTTGATTCCTCCGCTTGCCTTGACAGAGAGAGGTGACTAGTGTTGCTGAAGCTCACCTTCCATGTTGATTGGAGTCTCCATAGAAGAAGGTGTCCTCTTTCATGTCTGTGAGTTGGCATTAGTTGTCAGCTGAATTACCTTACTTCTCTCTCACATGTCTTCCTCAGCAGGTTAGCTGGGCTTGGAGTAGCAGGCTCAGGACAGCAGGAGAGTGAGAACTCCCCAGGACTGGTGCTTTGCTCGAGAACCAGGAAAGTCAGCGTTTAGGTGTAGGTGTGTTTGTGAATTACTATAGCAAAAGGATAAAGATGGTATCAGTGAAGGGGAAAAAGATATGTGAATGAAGTCCAGGGAGGCTTCTAAATGTCCTTTTGATAGAGTCACAAAGTCATACATGTCTACCAAGGAAAGTTATTAGAAACTCTGCCAGCGTTTTTACTGGACTCATAGGCATGCCCTGTCCAACATGCACCAAAATCTCCATACTCAGAAGGAAATTAGGTGTTCCTCATAAAACATATATCGTTTATAAAAACAGTTCAGCACAGTCAAACACTCTTAATGGAAACTGCTGAAAGTACATCTCTAGATCCCTGCTGTATTAACTCTTTTGCACAGACCTCTTAAGGCTTAGCTTAGAAGTCTCATTATCTTATAGTCTTCTAGTTAAATCAAGTCATAAGATGTTCCAGATTCAAAGGAGTAGAAAAGTAAACCACTTTTGGGACAATACAGGAATGAGAGCCTCCTCCCCCGACTCTCCACTTATAGTACTATTTTTTCTCAAAATAACTATCTTAAAATACAGATTTAATTAGTGATGTCTGTGTCTATAATTATAAATTTGCAGAATTTGCATGTCTGTTTTATGTGAATTCAAAATTGAAGGTTGGATTTTTGTTATTTCAAAAGATTTGGCTTAAGAAAACTAAAGTAGAGGAAAATATGATTGGGTAGAAATTGTATTATTCTGTTTTCCTAAATTTAATTAAAAGCAATCTTGGTAAATATGAAATGACCTCTTGTTCACTGCTTATTTTTTTTCTAGCCATGCTTGCTTACACATGTTAGATGTTAATTTCCAATTAAAACAAGTCACTTTAACATTGTATTCTGTTCTCCTTTAAGAGAATGGCTGCGCTTAATCAGATGTCTGTCTTGGATATGATTAAAGAGTTTAGGAGGAATTGGCGTGCTCTTTGTAACTCTGAGAGAACGACTTTATGTGGTCCAGACTCCATGCTCTTGGCATTACAGCTTTCCATGGCAGAAAACAACAAGCAGGTTAGTAAACTGTATTTAGTGTAACTTTTTAAAAACTGAATTTCACTTGCTGCCTATTACAATAAGCTTCAGCTTAGGTACATCATTTTCTTTGCAATATTTGCCCTCCTATCACAGGCTGTTTCAGAGATGCTTCTGCTCATCTGTGTCAAATATTGCAGCTGGAATTGTTTGAAAAAAAAAAATAGCCTATGCATCTGAAATGATTTATTAAATTATTTCATGTGTATAATTTGAACATGGAATGTACACATTTGATATTTAATGAAAAAACATAAAGATTAAATCTGAAACTCTTATGGTTATATGTATTCCAATTTAATAGTTATTCCTTTGTTTTCTAAAAGAAGCTCTAGAGAAGCACATATAATTTTTATTCAATGCAAAGTATTTTATGTCTAGTTTCAGCACTGTTGTTTGGTTTATGTACTCTTAATCAGTTTAGGCTGGGCAGTGGCAGTGCATGCCTTTAGTCACAACACTCAAAGGCAGGCAGATCTCTGAGTTCAAGGCCAGCCTGGTTTATAGAGTAAGTTCTAGGACTGCCAGGGCTACACAGAGAAACTCTGTCTCGAAAAACAAACAAACAAAAAATCAGTTTATGCATCAAAATCATTTGGGAGTTTTTTTTTTTTTTTTTTTTTTAAGAAAAAAAAAATACTAGCTCATTGGAGCTTGGTGGTACGGGCTTGTAAACCCAGCTACTCATAAGACAGACAGGATGGTCAGAAGTTCAAGACCTATCTGGACTAAAGAGTGAGTTCAAGGCCAGCCCATGACTTGGGCCTTTGGGACTCTGTCTCAAAATAACATGTAAAAAAGGGCTGGAGAAACCTCGGTGTAGAGTTCTTCCCTAGCACATGGGAGGTGCTATTTCAGTCTCCAGCACTGCCAACCAACTAACCAACCAACATACAAAAAACCAGTCTCCAGCACTACCAACCAACTAACCAACCAACATACTAAAAACCAAAGTTGTTGCCTTGTTGCCCTAATCCAGTCTTCACTGACCTGCTAGAAACTATCTTTTAGACAATCTCTAGAAAGTGATTCTGTTGGACGGAGCTTTGGGCCCACTGACCTTCAGCTAGAGATGGCTGTGGGTTAAATGCAGGCTAAGGTGGTAAAGAAAGGCTTCTTGTGTTTAGATAGATCCTAGATAGAAAGAGAGGAAGATTTAGGGAAGGGAGAAAAGAAAGGGAGGGTTTAAAGGAGGGGGTGATCAGTTCTGAAGTAGAGGTCAGGGAGATCATGATACTGCCTGGACTATGGAAGAGTACATTGGCTTCAGTACATTGGGATGGATAGTGAAATGACATTCTTATGAATTACTTTAATCTGACATATCAGTAGTTTCCAGACTTCTAGTTTCACAGACCAATAAATCTTCAAAAAGTATTAGACATTAACAGAAAATAAAAACCATTTAGGAAAAAGGAAAAAAAAAACAGTTGATATATAATATGACCATTCTTTGAAAAAGGAAAGTTATTTTAGCACCTAAAAATTAGGATGGTTATAGTCTTATATCAAAGGATAGTGTGTTAGTTACCTTATTTTCTGTCACTATGACAAATGCCTGAGGGAAATAAAGGGAGAGATGAACTTACTGTGACTCATGGTTTTCAGGTCTTAATTCAGTCCTCTGTTCTTGCTCCATTACTTCAGGGTACATGGTGAGGCATTGCATCCCAACAGTGAGACTGTATGGTAACCACTACTCGACTCATAGGCAGGAGGCAGATAGAAAGGGACCTTCAGATCATGCCCCCAGTGACTTATTTCCTCCATCTTGGCCTCATTTCCTAAAGTTTCTAGCACCTTCCAAAGTAGTGACACATATTGGAGGCCAGGTGTTCAGTGCATAAAACTATGGGAAACATTTCATATTCAAATTCTTACAGTTTTGCCTTTACATGGAGAGTTGGAAGTTTTGCTTATTTAAATCACTGTATAAATCATTTTGAATGGAGAAGAATTTTGGCAACTTATATCTTATGTATTTGTTAAAAATATTTATTGAGTTTTTATTATGTCTTAGATATTAGTATAAACATTGGGAATACAACAATTTAGAAACTCCCTGATTGTGGTGGTTTGAATTGGTATGGCACCCATAGACTCATGTGTTTGAATGCTTGACCCATAGGGAGTAGCACTATTAGGAGGTGTGGCCTTGTTGGAGGCAGTGTGTCACTATGGGGTGGGCTTTGAGGCCTGGTGTGGCTCACTCTCTTTCCTGCTGCCTGAGGATCAAGATGTAGAACTCTCAGCTCCTTCTACAACACCATGTCTGCCTGCATGCCACCATGTTTTCTGCCATGATAATAATAATAAGCCAGCCCAATTAAATGTTTTCATTTATCAGAGTTGCTGTGGTCATGGTGTCTCTTCACAGCAGTAGAAATCTAAGACACTGATGTTACAAAGTTAATATTGTGGCAAAGAGCAGCTACTACTCAAAACAGGAGCATTTTTGATCATAATAAGTGCTGTGGGGATATAAAGATGGGAGCTAAGGAGTAATAGGGGTTGAGGTGGAGAGGTTGTGGCAGTTTTAGAAGCAGGAAAAGCTTCATCTGGAATGTACCATTAGGACAAAGATGGGCAAAGATGGTCAATTTCACACAAACTGCTGTAATTAGCCCCTGCTGTTTCCCAAATGTGCCAGGGAATCCCCACCCTGGGGGTCCTTGCATGTGCTTTTCTCGTTACTCCTGCTTCAGCTTAGCAGGCTGCAGGCCTGCATTTGCAGGCACAGCTCTTTATTTTAAGCATTGACTGTGTTCTAGGCATTGTATTAAGTGTTGGAGTTAGAATGGTGAGCTGGGGCATTGAATCCTGCTTTGTCACTCAAAGGTGAAGATGACGTTATGCAGATAGTTATGCAGATAAATTCAAATACTAGTTAAGAGGAGTACATGGGGCTCTGAAACCAAGAACTTGATTTGGTAAGAGAGACAAAGGTGGAGATAAGAAGGAACAGGATTGACTACATAAAGGAGTAAGGGGTAAGACAAGGATGGGACACCAGCATGTGAGGTGCTACCCGTGAGAGCTTAGAAATCCTAAAGGGACAGGGCAGCTGAAGAAGTGGGTGGTGGTGTTTGCATGTCCAGCTCTTCTAGTCTTTGTTTTTAGCCATGGTTGTTCAGGGGTAAATTGAAGTAGTACTTATTTTACTTAGTGATTTGGAAATAAACGTTAAATTGGTTGGAAATTGAAGGAATAGTACATTGATTCCCTCATACCTTCTATTTCAGTTCACAAATTACTAACATTTGCTGTTAGGCTATTGCGCTGGGCCAGGGTATCCCATGTGCAGGGAAACATGCCAGGCAGATTCAGTGGCAGACAGTCACTCATGCCCCAGGCACTGCATCCACAAGGAAATAAGTTTATTATAATAGAGAGATGAAGAGAGAGAGAGAGAGAGAGAGAGAGAATGGGAATGGAGAGGGGGAGGGGCAGTTCTCTTTCAAGGGGACTTTACCTCTGTACACTGGGCAGATTTCCAAGGGGTGGGTCAGAATACTAACATTTGCCACATTTACACATTCTTTTAAATGTTACGATATTTGGCACTTAATCTTAGTGTTAGTCTCTTTTGCCTGTGTATATTTTGATTATTATACTTTAAAGATCATTTAGTGAAATTGACTGTAGACCCTTGTTTTAGTTACTTTTTGTTGCTGTGATAAAATGCTGTGACCAGAAGCAATTTGTGAAGCGTTTATTTTGGCTTATGCTTCCAGAGGGGAAGTCCATGTTGGCAGCAGGTGGCCTGAGCAGGACGCAGAGAGTAAAATGGAAGTGGAGTGAGGCTCTCCCTCTCAAAGTACATCCCCAGTGGCAAATTTCCTCCAGCAATGCTGTAACCTCCTAAAAGTTCCATAATCTCCCCCAAATAGTGCCACCAACAGGGGACAAAGTGTTCAAATGCATGACCCTAGGAAGGACATTTCTCATTTAGAACATCATGACTTTTAACAAATTTTCCCCAATCCAAGATCATGTAATTGTGTTAGTATGTCTTTATGTCCTTTATTGTGAGCAGCCTTTCTGTCCTTTAGGACAGATACTTCTGACACTTGTAAGACTAGCAGCCTTTTTTTTTGGAGAGTGTCCCTCAATACTGAATTTTTAATTGTTAACTTGTACATAGTAAACATTTTTGAGTGGAACAACTTACAGATGATGACTGTGTTCCTCAAAAAGCATTGCCTTTGGAGGATTGCATGATGTCATGTTTTCCCACGATGGGTGATGCTCATCTCTTATTGAAGGCTGGTTGATTTAAGTCTGTTCATTCAGTACATCAGTTCCCACAATCACTGTCTTTCTATTGTCTCCATGGCCTTGCCTTTTCATGTTTTAATTAATTAATTAAGGTTTTTCAAAACAGAGTTTCTCGGTGTAGCCCTGAAACTTGGCCTTCCTGAAACTTGCTCTGTAGACCAGGCTGGCCTTGAACTTAGAGATTTGCCTGTCTCTGCATCCTGAGGGCTGGCATTAAAGGTATGAGCCACCACCACCCAGTTTCTCTTCATTTTTTAATATGTATGTGCACATATACAAACATACAGGTAAAAATACTTATATGCATATATAGCACTATATATATGAATATAAATACACATATATACATACACAGGTACTTATATTCTTTATGAATCATTTGATAGGAAGTATCAGGCAGCTTGAACTTTTATTTCTAAAAACTTCAACCCCTATCTTTCATATCTAATGTTATTCTGTTGTATGATCACAACATAGTTGTTAATTTCAGAAAATTTTACTATGCTGATATTCTACATTGAATTTAGTGTCCTCTACTAGCAGAAAAATAATTACTGGGGAAAAATCTGAGTGAAGAGTACCCAAAAAAGACACAGTACTGAAGCTACTTCCAAATCACTTCTGTGGAATCTTCCCATCACATTCTTGTGGGAAGAATTTTTTTTTCCTAGTGGTCATAAAAAGACTGCTGATTTTTAAGA